CAATTAGAAGTGGAAGAATGGAGACCATGAATTCTGAAGTGGGGCTGGGTCAACCCAAGGCCACACAGGCCTATAACACAGTAGGGTAAGACCCCAGGCTCCTGTCTCCCTCCTGGGAGGAAGAAATGGATGGCGGCCAGGGTTTCCTTGGGCAGTCTGAGCAAGCCCATCCACCCAGTCTTTGGATGGTGAGGCCCGCCCCAGCCTACCCCCCACCAGTGGTGCTGGGGGCTTGGGAGAAGACTGAGCAGGGCTGTAGGTGACCCAGGGAGCTGGATGTGTATCTTTAGGCCCAGGAGGGGAATGTACAGCCATTCACTGTAGCATGTTTGTGGAGCGAGTCAGAGGCAACCTGGGGGTCTAAAACAGGAGGCTGGCCAGGCACGGTCACTCACACCTGTAATCCCAGCACTTTGGGAGGCCGAGGCCGGTGGAACACTTGAGGTCAGGAGTTCGAGACCAGCCTGTCCAACATGGGGAAACCTCATCTCTACTAAAAATACAAAATTTAGCCAGGCGTGGTGGCACACACCTGTAATGCCAGCTACTCCGGAGGCTGAGGCAGGAGAATTGCTTGAAAATACAAAAATTAGCCAGGCATGGTGGCATGCGCATGGTCCTAGCTACTTGGGAAGCTGAGATGGAAGGATCGCTTGAACCCAGGAAGCGGATGTTGCAGTGAGCCGAGATCGTGCCACTGCACTCCGGCCTGGGCTGATGGTTTCCCCTGTATTTGGAGTAAGCAAAAAGACCTCATTTGGCTGGGTGCAGTGGTTCACGCCTGCAATCCCAGGACTTTGGGAGGCTGAGGCAGGAGGATCACTTGAGTCCAGAAGATCGAGGCTGCAGTTAGCCAAGTACATGCCACTGCATTCCAACCTGGACAACAGAGCAAGACCCTGTCTCAAAGAAAAAAGAAAAGGTGGAGGTGGCATGGGGAGCTGGATGTGTACCTTCACCAAGTCCAGGATCTTCCTTTAAAATGCATACTTTTTGAGGTGAGGGCTGATCACACAGTCTGATAGTAACTGGACTTCACCCAACATTGGCCACTCTGCTTGGAGGGCCTATTGTACCTTACAAGCCAGAAATTGCAGACCAGCCTCCCTACTCCTACACTGAGCGTGTCCACCAGCCCCCAACTCAATCAACCCCTCTTTATCCCCTTCCAACCTCACATAAGCCCCCAGCCCCAAGCCCTGCAGAGGGGCCAAGAGCCCAAGCCTACAGGCCTGACTGCTGACGAAATGTCCCCTGGGAGAGCTGTCCAGAGAAGGAGGCATTGTTCCTTCCTGGAAAAACATACCAGCCGTGGGAGGGGTCTGCTGTTCTCTGGGACCTCGGCAAGGATCCTGAGGGTGAGGTGGGGGGGCCTGGCCTGAACTCCTGAGGCTACTCCTTTCCAGCAGCTTCCCCAAGCTGCTGCCTCTTGTGTCACCCCCACGGCCATGAGGGTGTGACAGAGTAGAGCACAGAGAGGAGGCCATTGAGGGAGTACAGGAGGCCACGGTGATGGTTAGAGATGTAGAACAAAGAAAATTACAAAATAATGGTGAGAGTGATTCCATTTAAGTTCTAGAAAAGGCATAACTAATCTACAGTGATTAGAAGCAGTGCAGTGGCTGCCTGGGGTGGTGGAGGCGGGGCGGGGACTTACAGGGAAGGTACCAGAGGGTAATGGAAACAATCCACAGCTTGATTGTGGTGGAAGCTACACGGCTTTCTACATTTGTTAGAACTTATCAAACTGTACACCTAAAATCTGTGCATTTCACTGTGTATAAATTATAGCTCAAAAAAGTTTATTTTTATAAAGAGTGACAGGAGGAGTCCTGGGAGGGCAAGGAGACCTAGGATCCCCTCCTGGGGTACCCCAGCTCCCTGTGTGACCCTGCGCAGATTTATGGGCCTGAGCCTCAGTTTCCTCCAGTGCTTCCAAAGACATTGTGTGCCTTGGTGTCTTGGGGGCAGGACATGGAACACACTTCGGATTGCCTGGAACAGTCATTAAAGAGGCTCTCCTGACAGAGCCTGAGGGGCTTTGGGCCAGTCAGTCACCCCTAAAACAAAAGTTGCTCCACTGAGGGCAAGTAGGACTCAGGCCCTGCCCATAGAACCCCGTCTGGAAGGGAGGAGACACACACAGGTTAGTATGGTGAAATCTAAGTGTAGATCAATACAAATAGGGTAGTGAGAGAGGAGAAGTGTGTGCAGCCTGAGATATCATTACAATCAGGGGAGACTTCCCACAGGAAGAGGCCCTTGCCTGAGCATGAGATTCCTCAACAATAAGAGGAAGAAGATGATAATCTGTGGGAGGGTCAAGGCTCAGATTGTGACCAGCAGCCCCAAGCTGTTTGTCCTCAGCCTCTCTTCCAAATCTCCACATGCAGTAGTCTACAAATGCCCCTCCTCCATACCTCTGACACTTATAACCCTACCCCACTCAGTTTTAATCAAAAGGCTTGATGATATCACAGCAATTCCTTTTTTAAGGTTTTTTTTTTTTTTTTTTTTTTTTTTTT